ATATAGGTTGTGTCAAATACTAAAATGGCAGATGGAGAGTAATGGCCGCTTAAGAACTAGAATATGTTCTTTGAATGCTATACATAAAGGTATGAGCAGGGAAAAATTATTACTGTTTTGCAGGAGAGCAGTGAAAGCTGCTATTCCATATTTGAGGAAGGTAGCTCTGGTGTCAGTGTGAAAGGTGAACTGAAGTGAACATTTGGAAGCTTGGGAGGATGTCATTGCAATAGATCACAGGTAAAAGAATGAGAAGCATAAGCTCATCACTAGGGTAAAGATGGAAATGAAAGGATAGGAGAAATGAGTATATAACTGGTTATGATGACGGTGAAAAAGTGATAGAGCCAACATAAGAAAGGTCAGAGAGCAGAAGTAGAGTCAGAGAGTGACATGCTTATAGTCAAGATACTAGAAGTGGTCCAACTACTTTCTCTAGCATTTTGTCCTGGGCCATCTTATCTGATATGTTCTGTTTTCTCTCTCAATCCCATTTGTCACATGGTGGCAGAGCATAGGATTCAACAGAAAAACCTGAGGCCAATACCGGTTCTGTCACGTATTAAGCAGTTTGACTGGGTAAGCCACAGGTGACTGTGGGCATCAGTTTCTGCCTCGATAAGTTGTGGCTTAACACAGCACCCTTTTCATTCAGGTGCTGTTTAAGGTTAAATAATGGATGTTAGCACAGACACTTCCACAAAGCAAACCCTTAAAAAAAACAAAACAAAAAAACCCCCAAAACAGGTAACATTATTACTATATCCAAGTGCCCCGGAACCAACTCCGTATAAGGATCCTGCAACCGCCTCAATTATAACATGCCCAAAATTAAACTTGGCTTGCTCCACACACTAGATCTTCTTCCTGCACTCTCTCCTGTCTAAGTTTATGAGACCACCACCTCTCCACTTAGGCTAGAACAGTTAGAGCTGTCTCAGACTCACCCTTTTCACTTATCCTTTCCATCCATGCTGTCACCAGATGCTGGTATTATATATCAAGTCCTAAGAAGCCATAGATTTTAAGATTCGCCAATATTTTATGAATCACTAAAAAAAAAAAAAATTGAATAACACTGTCAATTACAATTGTAGGATACAGCAATCAGATTTCAGAGGTGTTAACAATTTGAAAAAAAAAAAATCACCAAAACATGGCATATCTTCCTCCAAATGATCTTTGTCATCATAACCACTTATGTACTAATTTCTCTTACGATTCATGGTCATTTGTTATCATCAGTCTCTATCTCTCCCTCTTTGGCAAAACCCCAATTCTGGGTAAACCAAACTACTCGTCTACTTCCTGCCCAAACCCTAGCAGCTAAATATCAATAAGAAAAGTGCACACCTATGTTAATTGGTCTTAGTTGCATTTGAAACCACAGACCTCAAATAGGAACTCAACAATGTGTATTAATCCTGCTGCATATCCCTAGTAAATTTGCTTTCTCGCTTTTCCAAACAACTGCTTTATTTCTTCTGTTTTCTCAAATCTATATCCTACCTCCTTTCCTCCTTTCTTGTTTTCAGCTGATAACCTCACCTCTTTTAATGGCAAAATATAAGCAGTTGAGACAATTGGAACTTGAATTCCCTCATTTTTCCATCAACATATCTTCCTTTGTATTTGTTCTCACATCCTGCTTTCCCTCCTGTTACAAAAGACAGATCCTCACGCCTATATAAGCCAGTCAGTCTCCCCTTGTGCCTTGGATCCCGTTCCCCTCATGACTTCTTAGGGACTTGGCTGCCTATAGCTCTAATACCTCCTCCCCTCATCCTCCATCACTAATATCCCCTCTTTACTGTATCATTCCCATTGGCATTCCTAACCATGGTCTCATTTGTATGCTCTCCTTTTCAGCAAAACATGAAAGAATTGTCTGTATTCTCTGTCTTCACTTCTTCATCTTTCATTGTCTCTCAACCTCCAGTCAGGTTTCCATCTCCACCATTCGCTGAAACAGTACTTGTCAGGAACAGATCACAGTGACTTCCATGTAGTTAAATCCCATAGTCACATCTCAGTACACATCAAACTCAGTCTCTCATCAATATTTTACATATCTGGCCACTGCCTCTCTCTTGAAAAACTTTCTTCTCTTGACTTCTGTGATACCATATTCTCCTTTCCTACATCACAGTGCACCTCTTCCTCAGTTTCCTTTGCTGTTTACTCCCCATCTTCCTCTATTTGCTAGAATGCCTTTTCTCCAGCTGTTTTGTCCATTCAGGGGATCTCCTGTGTCTTTAATTGCCATTATCTTTTATGCCAGTGACTCTCAAAACCTACCTTCCTAAACTTATTCACTTAAAAGTAGACTCGGTATCACAAATTTAACATGACTGAAAACAGAATTCTTGATTTTTACCTTGTATGAAACCTGTTCCTCCTTTGTCTTTGACATGTTAGTATTTGATAGCATCACCCTGAGTGGCACATAATGCTGTAGATTGGGGAGATGATATTTAACCTTTTTGGGGGGAGCAAATACATAGAAAATATTGATTGCTTTTCAATGTGTTTCTTACAGGGGGCAGGAGAGCATCTTGAATCTTCTTATATAAAGTGCACGATTTTATGTCTTGGGCATTGGCTTTCATCCACTTTCAGATAAGTTCATAACTTATACAAATGAGTTGCTACTCTAAAAGTAGATACAAGTCCAAGAAGATAACTCTTTTTTACACAAACTTCTTAATTTGGGGGCATATAGTACTTCCAGGAATGTTGCAAGGTTATGGTGTGTGTGTTGTATGTGTGTTTGGGGCAAGTTATAGAATAAATGAGGCAGTATCTTCATGGTACTTAGTTTGGGATTTTTATGCTCTAAAAAGATTTCATGACATGAAGATGAAATTAAAACATATGTGAAAATATTGTGGTCTAGACTTCCGAATTAAGAAAAAATTGAACCTGGAAAGTTCAGGCTTGTTTGCCACTTCAGACGCTGACCAGGAATACCTGATAAGCATTCACTTCTGGGTGCTAGTAGGAAAAAGAATTTGAGCTACTGTGCTTCATGGCCTTTTTTTTTTTTTTTTTTTAAATGAATACGGTCAAATCAGTTGAGATGAATGTATTAGAATTAGGTTTCTCCAAGAGGAAGTTTAAATCTATCCTTAATTACCTTCTCTATGTAGTTATCTTAGGTTAGTGTTCATAATGAAGGAGAACCAAACTGTTTGGAAAGCCAGACTGAAGTCAGCTCTTTGCATTGAGACTCAAATGACTGTCTGCTTGTCATGAATAGCCATGCATCTATGATTTCTTTGAAATTAATGAATATTCATAGCATCCTTTTTAGGCAGAATAATACTAATAGAGCAGCACAAGTGGGTTGTGGTGGTTTTGTCTCTTCATTCTCCCTCCACTTGCTCTGCTTTCCCCTGGTCTTCTAGTGTTTTGGTTCCAGGTGCAGAAGGGCTCTACACTGGACTTGTTATTGTTAGAACAGAGAAATATTGAAAATGGTTATAAAATGTTTTGAGTTTCACAGTGAAGATGTAAATTAAAGTGAAAGTCTAAGCATTTTGTGAGGTTTTTTTTTTAATTGTTTAATTTGTGCTATTTAAAATACTAAGCTATTTAAAATACTAAATTAAGTCACTATTTCCATCTGGCAAGTTCCCCAACTGGTTGAATGTTAAATACTGTCATAATAGCAATTAATTCATTCAACAAACCTTTGTTGAATGCCTAGGCTATCTTCTAGGTACCAGGAAATGAATGAGACTTAAGTTCTTCCTCTCATGGAGGTTCCATTCTAATAAATATACAAGCAAACATGTAATATCAGGTAGTATAAATGTTAAGAAAACCAAGACAACTTCTCTCTTTTTTATTTTTCTCTGGATAAAACAACTATACATAGTCAAAATACCCGATTAATCCTGAGCAAGCACCTAATTTTTTCATGCCTTGATTTTCTTATTTGTAAAATGTATTTACCCTACCTCACAGGCTTGTAATATTTTTAAAAAGAGAGATGGAGAAAGATAAGAGAAAGAGAATGTGTGTAAAAGCCCTTCATAAAATATGACTGTAAATGTGAGATAGTTTTTTTTTTTGAGTTGGAGTCTCACTCTGTCACCCAGATTGGAGTGCAGTGGCCACTCCCGGCGATCCTTCCGCCTCAGCCTTCAAGTAGCTGGAACTACAGGCACGTACTACCATGCCTGGCTAATTTTTTATTTATTGTAGAGATGAGGTCTCGCCAAGTTGCCCAAGCGGGTCTCGAACCCGTGGGCTCAGGCAATCAACTCATCTCAGCCTCCCAAGGCGCGAGATTACAGGCTGAGCCACCAAGCCCGGCTAGATATTGTTATATTTAAATGGAGTCAAGGATTTGTGTATTTGGTATATGTCAGTATTTCTGTCAGTATCGTTTGCTGTTTAGATTATAAAATACTTGAGAATGGGTCTTGGGCATTTTAGATTGTTTTAGCTTTCATTACTTTTTGGTTTGGGGGAATTTCTAGTAAGATGTCAATGTTTAATAATGGGTTGCTATTATTCTGTCATACTGTATAGTGGAACGAGTTGAGGAAAGGACTCAAGCATCAGATGGATGATTGTACTAAATGATCTTTTTTAAAACAAACAAAAAACAAACCAACAAAAAAACGAATTCTGTCATTCCATAATGCCGAAATAGAAAAATTTGAGGAAAATCATCCCAGCCTTAGTACAACAAAAAGTATTTTCTTTTTGGCATGAATGTTGTGTTGTGGTTAGAGTCAAAATAAAGCATTTTGTATGTCAACAATTTCGGTCTCCATGAACAACTTTCTTAGCCGGTATCTCGGTTATATACATTTAAATAACAATGTGATCAACAGAGGCAGTATTTTTTAGAAGTTCTAGATACACTTCCTTTAAATACCTCCTGTGCTGTACTATAGAGAAGTAATTTTTGTGCTTTAAACTAAACCATTTGGGATTGTAGTTATGACTCTTGTCCTGAACTAAAAGTAATGTTTCTTTTTTCAAAGGTACGCCAGCCTGTCATATGCATCAACAACCATGTATTTTGCTCAATTTGTATCGATTTGTGGTTGAAGAACAATAGCCAATGTCCAGCTTGCAGAGTCCCTATCACTTCTGAAAATCCTTGCAAAGAGATTATAGGTAAGGGCCTATTTTTTATGCATGTAAAAATAGGGTTTGAAACACTCTCCAAAAAATATATATTTGGGAGAAGGCTGAAATATACTGTTTTCAATGATGTTACTGGATGGATGAATAATTTGTAAATGTATATGTGGAGCAGCTGAGGGGCACAGGGCACTATGAGAAATGCTAAGGAAAATAATTCTTATAGCTTTATGAAACTTACATTCTAGTACTGACTGTGGGTGTGGACCAGAAGAAAAGCAGCAGGTGCTAAAGTTCCCCCCCAGTCCTCCCCCATAAAAAAAGGCCCAGAGAGTTCAGGCAAGAACGTTTAGCTATGAATATTGAGAAGGGTTTCATAAATAGGTAGCCTTTAAGCTGGACATTTAAGAATAAATACAATTTCAGCTGGTAAAGATGAGGAGGGCATTTCCTCCAGGGAGAATAGCATGATATAAGGTTTAGATATAGAGAAACACAGAGCATGTTTTGGAAACGATCAGTGGTCTAGTTTGGATCTGACTACTGACATTGTGACTTTGGTGTAAAGAACCTTGAATGACAACTAAATCAGACTTGCTCTGTGGATGAGAAGAAGGGTAAAGTGGGCATGACAGTTTTGAGCAAGGGAAGGGTATGATCCAAAATGTCTTTAGGAATATTACTTTGGTGGTGATATATAGGTTGGACTGCATGAGTGAGACAGGAGTAAGTAGGTCAAGTAGGAGGGTCTTGCCCAAATGATGGAGGATGTGAGTCTGGATTAAGGGTAAAATTAAAATTCAGTGTCACATTAATGTGTGTGTGGGTGGGGGGGTAAAGTTTGAACAAGAGGATCCTTGAAAAATAAAACTTTTAAACCTTTTTGGTGATTTTTAAAATCTGAGTCATATAAATTATTTCTTTAGATTACAGAGACTTAAATGATTTTTAGTTGGTTTTGCTTTAGGAAAAATTGAAAGTGAGCCTATAATTAGCCAAGTATAGAAAACACATTTCAGAAAATTTAAAGAAGTCATTGTAATCGTCCCAAGTTAGGGAAATTTGACTTAAATGAGATTTTTACAAAGGAAATTGAGAGGAAGATATATGCTAGGGACAAAAGAAGAACTAATGGGACTTTGAAAATAAGAGATCTGAAGGCAGAGTCAGAGTTGACTCTAAGGTACCTACCTGGGTGAATTCTGGCAGAAGACTAATTCTCTGTTGTGTTGCATGCTACAGGGTTAAATTCTCTATCTTTAGTTTTTTTAATGTACTGAACTTCACCAAGGAGTGAAGTCTTTTCTTGCAGGATATGAGCTTTGATGATTATATCTGAATATTTTTCCTCCAGCTTTTCTTCACATCTCTTCTTCTGCCTTCATTCATTCATACTTACATGATATTTCATAAATTTTCTCAAAGAAAACCATTCATTTTTGCATTTGGATAGAATGTTCTTAAAAAGAACATCTGTAAAATGCCCTTACTATTATAATAATGCTAAGAAGAATAGAAGAATACAAAAAAAAGTACACAGTATCACTGAAGAGCTCTCAGAAAGAATTCATTTTTATTGTATTTGTAACAAGTCACAGCATACAATTAATACTATGACTCATAATCCATTGTAACTGGGTTGATAGAATCAGTGAAAAGAAACAGTAATCTTTTCAATTGTGTTATCAGTAACCAGACATATTTGAATGTCTTGGCTATAATTACTTATACATAATATTTATATAATTAGAAATATTTTTATATAATCTGTTGGTTAAATACAGTGTAATAATTGGTTTTATCATTATTTACTAATTGTCTAGTGTTTAGAATTTGCAGTTGTCCTATTGTGATAATCATATATAGCCCTTTCCTCTATTGCATATACTATGATAAGATATGTAGGTAAGTAAACACAACATGATATCTTACTACGGTATTTCTTAAGGCGTTATTTAATATTTTTTTTTTTTCAAGATTAGGACAGAGAAAAGGCCTACATGGCAGCCCCAAATGGGTATATAAGGAAAAAAGTAGATATTAAGCTGGGGAACTATATAAAAAATAAGAAAAAGTTTCTTTTTTTTTTCCCTGTAGGGGGAACAAGTGAAAGTGAACCTACACTAAGCCATACAGTCAGGAAGCACCTTCGGAAAACTAGACTTGAATTACTCCACAAGGAATATGAGGTAAATAAATAATAATTAATGTTTTAAAATGGTGTCAGCAATGAATTCAAGGTAAAACTGAGCTACCTCAGTTCCCAGACTTCTCAGAGTAAACATTCAACGAAACTTTATTTTAAATGCCTATTAAAAAATATATGATTTGGGTCAGGCACAGTGGCTTATGCTTGTAATCCCAACACTTTGGGAAACTGAGGTGGAAGAATTGCTTGGGTCCAGGAGTTCAAGATCCTAGGCAACATAGCGAAACCTCATCCCTGCAAAACTTCCAAAATTAGCCAGGCATGGGGCTACACACATGTAGTACCAGCTACTTGGGAGGCTGAGGCAGAAGAGCCCAGGAGGTCGAGGCTGCGGTGAACTGTGAGTGTGCCACTGCACTCCAGCCTGGGTGACAGAGTAAGACACTGAAGCCTGGGTGACAGAGTGAGACACTGACTCAAAAAACAAACTAACCTTGTTTGATAAATGTTTTCCTTTCCTATTTTAAAAAGAAAAGTTTTTTTGTTTTGTTTTGTTTTAACAAGCAAGTACAAAGAAACAGGTAGTGTAGGATTCTAGAGAAAAGGAACAGATGGAAGCATTGTTTTCCTTTTTTTAAACAAATTAAAATTTGTACCTTTGAGATATGTCCTTATATATTTGGTTCCTCAAGAAGTTAGGAAATGGAAAGACACTCTCTTGTGAAAGTCATTCTGACTCCCACAATCATCGTTTATTTCTGCCTATAAATTCACTGATGATTATGAGCCTGATCAATTCTAGTTAATACTATATTTTATGTCAGTTACCAGCACAGAGATTTTAGTGTGATATATACTACTTTCTAATTTTTGTCTAAAGGTGAATGGACTTTTTTGACATGGTGATGGAATTTTCACAAATAAATTCATGCGAGGAAATACATATACTTTCAAGATGGTGCACATGAAGCCTAGTTGTCATTTTATGTTGACAAAAGAGGAGAATATTGCCGATATTTTTTGAGTTAAACTGTATATAGAAAATCTCAGCTACCTCAAAAATTTTTTGAAATGCAATGGGGACATAAATGATCAAATAAATGCTCATTAAAATGTGGTTTCCACATAACATATGTGGTTTCCACATAACATATGTGTTTCCACATATGTGATTGTATTTGTTTATTCATTAATATATTCAAACGATGATTTTCTTGTTTTATAATGCAATTTAACTGGAAATTTATTGCAACTTAAAATAGTAAATAATACTATCTGTGTTATGTTTATTTCTAAAACGTATTATTATGTACTTAATGAATATTTATCATACTTAGTATAAATACTAATTATATTAATCTTTTGAAAGATCATTGGCATATTGAGCTACATGGGAGTTTATTTTCTAACAACAGAATTTTTAACAACCTTGGTTTACGGTGACATTTTTTAATCAATGAGTGGCATCACAGAAAAGAGTTCTAGTGATTCGATTTAAGGTAATAAGCAGTTCCAGAGTGGGAAAACTAATGCTTGTTATAGTCAATTATAGTAATTGAAGAACCAGAATCTGGAAAAGTTAAAAATTAACTGCAGGTGTTATTCTGAGATGGAAAGTGGAAGGAAATGATAGATAGGTTTAATCCTACTTCAAATATAGAAGTATAAAATCAAATAAAATCCTAATGATCACCTTGATCAATTCTATACAATGAACCTCCATCTATTCGTGTTCCTCATTTGTGAATTCAACCAACTGTGATAAAAAAATATTTGGAAAAAAATAGGCCAGGCATAGTGGCTCACACCTGTAATCCCATCACTTGGGGAGACTTAGGTGGGAACATTGCTTGAGTCCAGGAGTTTGAGACAAACCTGGGTAACACAGCAAGACCTTGTCTCTACAAAAAATAATTAAAAAAAAAAAAATTAGTTGGACATGGTGGCACATACTCCTAGTCCCAACTACTTGGTAGATTGAGGCAGAAAGCTTACCTAAGTCTAGAGGTTGAGGTTGCAGTGAGCTGTGATTGTGTCACTGCATTCTAGCCTGGTGACAGAGAGAGATCCTAACTCAAAAAAATATGTATACATGGGGGAACCCCAAAAACCTCAGAATCTATTTATAAAAGCTTATGTGTTTATTCTTACATGTTTAAGCTTCAATCACCTTCAAAATGTTTCCGTTTGATGCAATACAACTATTGAGTTGCTTTTTCCACTGCTCAAAAGTTTTTAGACATATCAATTTTTATGCCGTTTACTGCTTCTACTGTTTTGTTTTGTTTTGTTTTTTTACCTCTTCCATATCCATAAAGCCTTTCTTTCTGAGAACTTTTTTCATCCAGGGAAACAAAACAAAAAAGTTGCTCAGGTTGAGACTGGGTTTATATGGAGGGTGGGCACAAGGGTCATGCCATTTTGGTCAAAAACTACGGGGCACTCAGCATGGTTTGGGAGGTATAATCATAAATCTCCCATCGTGACATGGGCAAATGCTTGAAAGAATCTCCCAAAGAAATTCACTGAAGCCGAATGCAGCCTCTCACAACAGCGGTAGCTGATACACTCATGCTGATAAGTTCTTAGAACACTTATTTTGTGGGCGAAGCCTGTACTACAAGGGGTGCACCCTCCAAAAGATAATTCTGTTTTGTTGTTGTTGTTTTGGGTCCCCCTTTTATTTGAAAAAATTAATAATTAAAAAATAGTAAGTAATACAAATAAAAGTCAATGTAATTTAACAATTATTTATGTAATATTTACATGATATCAAGTATTATAAGTATTCTAGAGATGATTTAAAGTATATGGGAGGCTTGCAATGGTTATATGCAAATGCAGTACTGGACATTTTATATTAGGGACTTGAGCATCATGGATTTTGGTATTTGTGGGGGTCATGGAATCCGCTCCCCATGGTCACCAAGGGACAACTGTACTTCTTAATTTCTCTCAGTAAAGCAGTTAAGGTACCTTAAATTTTTCTTAGGAAATGGAATCTATGTTTCTGCCAGAATCCATGTGACTTTTTTTGTTTTCTGGATGATGTCTTGAATAGAATAAAAGATTTGGCATTTTTTTAAAAACGACAACTGTCGTTGAATTAAAATGAAAACAGCATAAATGCCAAGAGTCAGAGTCAGACTACACGTTGGGAATTTAGACTATATGTGACTTTCTTTCCACAAAACTATTCTGCTGTACAAAGACTGTGTATCTGTAGAATTTTTGGTACAAAATTTAAAGATATATTGGCTGCGGTTTAGCATACATATGTGTTTGTTGTCTGTGTCTGCCTCATGACTACGATGTAATGATTTTTCAGGATGAAATAGATTGCTTGCAGAAAGAGGTAGAAGAGCTTAAGAGTAAAAATCTAAGCTTGGAATCACAGATCAAGACTATTCTGGATCCTTTAACCTTGGTGCAGAGCAACCAAAGTGAAGAAAAACCTCTAGTCACGGACAGCCCAAGTGCAGTTGACCCAGACACCGTGACAGAGTGGAAGAAAAAACTCAGAACAGCTAACGAAATTTATGAAAGGGCGAAAGATGATGTGGAGAAGTTAAAGGAGGTAAGTTTTGGTTTTAAAAAGTCTATTATGGTTGTTTTAAAAGTTCTGTAATATTTTAAGCTCCTTCAAAGGTATAAACAGCCGTATTATCTTGACTCATCAGATGATTTGTGAGGGAAGGACATAATCTCTGGATGACCACTTATATGCAGTAAGAAGACTTTTTAAATGTGAAATATCATTAGTTGCCAAGACATATCAGGTGGTTCCATTTGTGACTATAATTGGAGCCTCTATAGTGCTTCTATATGAGGTTGCATCTTCTTCTAGAAGAGTAACATCAGTTGAAATGATGTGTTTCTATTTCCCCCCTTTGTGGTTTGCCTTTTTTAAAGCGTAGGTCAGTGACTGCCCTGTGTGCATGTAATCAAACACGTACCCATTTCCCCACCCATCAAAAGTTTTTACTCTCTCTTTTTTAGCACCACCATTCTTTGCTTTTAAAGATTGTAAATAGATAATTAAAGGCTAGTTCCAAGAGCAGTGAGCTGCTTTAGACTACTCCATGTAAAAGAATATTGACTGGCTCATTTTTTTCAATTATTCTTCCATCTTCCAACAAGATAGAGAGAGAATAGGTAAAAAAGACACACTTCTAGGATTTTCCAATCTGGGAAGGAAGATAGATTCAAGATTTCACAATCAGTACTGTAGTGCTCTCTTGTCTCAAGGCACCAGCCTTAACTTGACTTCAGGTTTATCTACAGTGGAGTCTTGTGCTGAATGGAGATGGTTTTTTTAGTACTTAGGTCTACAACCACTCATTTAACCTATTTGCATTCCCTTAAAATATCATTCTTGTGCTAAATTACTAAGTCTTGCCTCCTGAACTCATTAATGAGCTCTGTTTGATATTTTAAGAAGGACCGTTGTATATTGGCTCTCACATCCTCAGTGAGGTTAAGTAGAAAAGCATCTTCAACTTAGGGGTAAGCCCTCTTCCACATATAAAATAAATGCTGCTTGGGCTTAGAAAGACCAAAATGAGATGAAGAAGGGAACTTAGTGCTTTCAGAGAAGAAAGAAACTACAGACACAATTACACTGAGTTACTTAAAAGCTCAGGGAAACTTTGTAGTTTCTTTGGGTATTAATGACCAACATTAGTATGTTGGTTTGTTACAAGACACTAAAGGGCACTAAAAGGGATGGCAACTGGGAAGTTACAAGATTTATGACTCTGCTTGTCCCCTTTAGCTTCCCTGCCTCGTTTTCTACCACCAGTAAGCTCTGTGTGGTCTCTTTCATAGTTATTAAACCTCATTTAAATTTTTGCAATAAATGCTTCTTAGAGCATAAAGCTTTGGGTGAAGATTATTCTTTGTTCATAAGGGTGGTATGGGGGAATGTATGTAAAAGAAGCAAAGTTAGTTTTTCTTTGCTCTTTTAATGGTCACATGTTAAAGTCAATGCCCAAAGTTACCCTGTGACTTCACAATTATTTGAGATATTTAATAAGCCCATTTTGGATGCCTGGTGATAGTATTAGGTAATAGATGTAAACTGGGGCATACATGAATAAAAAGAAATGGACTTCAGAGATAAAACTCAAATGTGAAGCATAAAATAATTACATAAGTCAAATACAGGAATGAAATGGACTTTTTTACTGACGTTTCCTGGACTGAGCCATCATGAGGCGGGTGACATTACTCAATCACTGTTAAGGATACAGAATAGTTAACTGAAGTCTAAATCACTCTTTTAGGTGCAAAAAGTAGGCAGAACTCTGCCTTTCCTAGCCTATACTCACCCAACCTCCTTGAACTTGAAAATGTCTCTGATAGTTGAGAAATCAGTGAGCCCACAATGAGAAGTATTAGGGAGCCACAGGACTGTTGAGAGACCTGGAAGTATAGTCACATGGTAGTAGGGGGCAGGGATGGGGAAAGGAAATCAAATGAGTTTCTAATTTAAGCTTGTCAACATCATCAAAAAGCATTCACTAAGTGCCTCCCCGTGTGATGCTCTGCTTGAGGGCTTAATTCATTGTCTGTATATATGAAGAAGTGGCTTTCCTTATATCTTCAGAGAGGCAATAATGGTGTTCATCAGTCATGTAAAGAATTACCCCTCCACAACCCTGGTTGGTGTGCAACCATGAAGATAATCAGGTGCTCAGAACCCAAAAGGAACCTGGATAAGTCTAAGTAAGGGAGTTAGGCTTTATGCTCCCCCAAAATGCCCTCTATTCTACTTTTCTTGTGATCCTTGTGCTGCATTTGTGTGTGGGTGGGCAAGTAATATAGTCAGAAGTTCTGGAAATTAGTCAAAGCATTGATCAAATTTTTGAAATATTTTTTAAGACCTCTTGGTTTAAACATTTTTTGTTGACAGTATTTCTTGTGACCTATTCATTTTGAATGTAAATGTTCTAGTCAGAAAATTTCCCTTGCCCATATTAGTGAGGTTGGTTTCTAGTTTAGGGAGTCTTATTTTTCATTTTTTTGGAGCACATAAATGCAATGACTAGAGAATTTAGAGGAAGCTGTTTTTAAGAAGACTAAAATTTAAACACTACTTTTCAGAATCAGTATTGAGCCTCTGGATTTCCTGGCAGCTAGCATCTTGTTAGATAATTTTTAGGAATTCTACAATTAGAAAGAAAGTCACATTTGGGAGGTTTTTTTAATCAAGGGAGAATCCATGGAATTTATTAGAAAATGCTGACCCAAATCAGCATTGAGGGCCCTAGAAATTGTGGCCAGGGCATTGCTTTTTGAAAAAAGCAAGTGGTTTAATCAAATTTGATTTGTTAACACTAAAAAAAAAAAAAAATTAAATTAAATAGCAACCAAGAAATGAATCTCTTAGCTCAAGAATTAACTCTTCATCGTAAGTTCACCAGGACTTGCATGTGATGAAATGTTACCTTGCTTAGAGTGAATCTTGCTTAGAAATATGTGAAAAAGAAAAACAAAACAAAACACATTTGCCATTAGTGTGGTCCCTTAATGACTCTAAGCTAACTAACATAGCTTTGTTTATTTCCCTGGATAGGAGATTTGCAAAGTGTTTGGGGAACATGGATTTAAAATGCTCAGTTGTGTTCACAGTTTCAGGAGTCATTCCCAGTGTTGATTTTTAAGTTTCTGAAGGCCATGTTCTGTATTGTTTTCTAATATTATCAATCAAGAAAATACAGATGGCTCATGTTGTAATTTTTACATACCACCTTTGTTTTAGTTGGTGCTTAATTATTTTCAACTCTTTTTTTTTTTAGGCTAATAAAAAATTGAAATTGGAAAATGGTGGCCTGGTGAGGGAGAATTTACGACTAAAGGCTGAAATTGATAACAGATCTCCCCAGAAGTATGTATTTTGCTCACAGATCAATGTTTCAGAATATGGCAGTATTTTAGACTAGGCTGCTGTGGTGGTGATTTTCATTTGACTATTTCCATTTAAACATGCAGGTTTAAGTAAGTAGAATGTCTTGCCTCTCACAGTCAAGTGTGTGTGTGTGTGTATACAGTGTTATTGGTAAAACTTTAGTCTTGGGTAAAGCTTATTTTGAAGAAAAGAATTTATTCTTATCATTTTTCCTTATTTAGCAACAGAATTGTTTTATGTGACCTAAGACAGATGAACATTCACTGTTGTTACATATAACTGCTTAATAGTACTAACTAATAGTAGTGAGATAAAGGTAATGCCCTTCAGTATTTCCTGAGGTAATCCTAGTAATAGTTAACGATCATATAGTGCTTTTTCTTTGCCAGGTATAGCAACCTGTAATGAATGTCTATTATTCTCTATTTTCAGATGAGAAAATGGAGGCACAGAGAGATTAATTTATTTAAATCTTCACAGCTAGTAAGTGGTAGAACTAGCATTTGAACTCAGATAATTTAGTCCCAGTATGTGCTCTTAACCATTACATTGAAAAGCCTATCTGAAATAGAATGTAGGAAATTATTCATTGAATTTTGGACTGATTTGATATTATATTATTAAGTGAATTTATTCTTCCTTTATGGAATAGTCTTTATGCCATTCCAGATGATAAGAACTTGCAGGTGTTGACCTGCTTAACAATATGTCTGTTTAAAATTACAAGAGAGTTGAGATTTAAGGGCTGAAGATGGAGAAAAGATAGCAGACAGAACTTAAAGTTTTACTTTTTCTAGAAAAAAATATCACAAATGGGACGAGAATATGGCCCCAAGGTCAGGTAACTTGTCTGAGGGATGGTATATTAGAACTCTGTACTTTCTTACCATCTAACCACTGCACTTCATTTCTTTCTCATGGAAAAAGACAATGCAGGAATAAGCAGTGGAAATTTATCCTACCAGAAATAGCTCTTTGCTTATCATTTGAAAAGGCGGAAATATTGCCTTTAGTAAAACCAAATGTGGTATCAGGAAATGGTAGAAATAAACCATAATTACTGGGGGCAGAGATAACTTACCAATAAGAAAGAAGCATAGCTTTTACTTTTAAATAGTTCCTTCCCCTGTGTCCCCCAACCGTGTTTTTCCTCCACTTCAGATAATGTCCTACTTTGACAAATTAGTGAAATAAGCTTAGGAAGTGTCGCCGTTCTGTGGTGGTTTGACTCTCTACTCCTATTGTTTATTGGCAACTCGCCTTGCCAGTCATAGTAATGCTTGTCCATTAGCCATTTCCCACAGCATGCTGAATGGAAGTAAGCTATTTTGCTTGTAGCTTTTATTTCTTGAAAAGTTGCCCACCAGATTTCAAATTTAATGCCAGCCACTAGGATGTGTGTTTTTAAATATCCATGACTTCATCTGGATAAATAACTTAAGAATCTCACCTGAGGAAACTTGGCCTCTCCTTCTCTCAGACAAGCAGCCACACCTTTGAATCCAATATAACTCGAGGATTTGCCATCTTCAACTTCCATTTTTTCCCTTCAGGAGAAGGGAACAGTTTCACTTGAAAAGCAATTTCATCTGACCACTGTTCCAGATCAATCTGCAATGCATTGAGGTATTAAATGCATTGCACTTGATTTATAGCTTTGTTTACTCTACATCACCAAATCCTAGTGGGATTCAGAGAGAAGCTGATCACAGCTGAAAATATCCAGATCTGGTTCACCTGAGGAGAGCTCGTATTTGTATGGAAAAGAATAAGAAGTTTCAAGAGTTTACAAGTAAATGCAAGCAATAAAAACTATTCATTCCATCTTACTCCCTCAGTATAGGAAATACCTTGACTAATTATTTTTCTCTTGTCTACCTGGTTAGGTGTCAAGGTATACTTTGGCCTTAGTCTCTGATATATTCTACAAGTTAAACAGACATAGTCTATAAATCATACAAAAGAGAGAGCTTTAAACTTTAGATACTAAGGAAGGAAAATATTAGTAGAGTTATTAGTCGGCTCAGGATGCCGTAACAAAATACCATGGACTGGATGACTTAAACAGCAGATTTATTTTTCCACAGTTCTGGAGGCTAGAACTTCTAGAACACGATTCAGCAGTGTCAGGTGCTGATGGTAGGTTCTCTTTCTGACTTGCAGACTGTCACCTTGTTATGTTCTCACATGGTGTTGGGGGAGAATCTCTCTTCCTCTTCTCATAAGGATGCCTCATGACCTCATTGAACCTTAACTACCTTCTAAAGGTGTAATCTCCAAATACAATCACATTAGGGGTTAGGACTTCAACATATAAATTTGGGGGCAGGGACTTCAGAGCAGAATGACTTTCCAAGATGCTCAAAAAAATACCATACATTTCCCCAAAGACTAGACTAAAATCTGGGGTGAACAAGGGGGACTCTAAACATTTATATTGGTTTCAAGTAGGTAGCATTGTATAAAGAGTAATACATTTTATAATCTTTTAAAAAGAGTGTGTTCATTTTTTTTAATGAAGGTCTAAGTTATTATTTATCTCCTCTGCTACAGTGTACCTGGACATTTTCCTTCCTCAACTTTAACTTTAAAGCCCTCTTAAGCAGCGTGGCAGATAGCCTACTATAGGCATAGTGTAGGCTTCATTAATATTCATTCTGTTCTTTGTCAGAAATTCATTGGCCTAATATCCAAATTGGTGGTCCAGAAGATATAGTCTTTTCTTTTGACTTTATCTATGTGGCCACTTCCTGAATTTTTTTTTTCTTTCTAAATTAAGTTGTTTCACCTGGAGGAAACCACCTGTTAGCCCTTCAGGTTCCCCTAACTTGGTCTCCTAAATGAATCAGATTTTATCTTCAGAACCCAAGGGGTGGTGATACATCCTTTAGGTTTGCAAGGCTAATATCTGAAGAAAACCTACTCTACCCGCCAACTCAGAAGTAATGATTTTTTTCTTAACACTGTATTAAGTGCTTTGAACTGTACAAAATCAATGCTTTCTTTGACCCCTGAAGTACATTAGTTCGCTTGCTATGATTTCTCCTATTATCTGTACTTTACCTTCTTAGCACATGTCACAACTGCTAGTGATTAATATTTTTTGTAAGTGTTTCATGATTTTCTTCTTTTAGAGACGGCTATAATTGTATTCACTGTTGTAGCCACTGCATTTTATAGAATTCTGGCTCATATCCTGCTTCTATAATACATATTTGTTGAGTAAATGAATGAAAAAACGGCTCCTAAGACCAAAAGGATACATACAGACAAATCTAGAATGTGGTACACTCAATAGGAAAAGTGACTAGGTTTCTTTGTTAAATTGTTGGCACAGAGTGCGGGGCTACTTTTCAATAAAAGAGATCTAAGAGATATAACCAAATTCAGAATGTGCATCTTGTTAGCGTACTGATTAGTAACAAACTGTCCAAAGACGTTTTTGAGGCAGTTGGGTAAATTTAAACATAAAGGAGGTATTCGATGATACCAAGGAGTTACTGTTAATTTTGTTTAGGTATCATGGTTACTTAATAAAACACTCATTTATCTTAGTTTTGGGAGCTGCTACAACAAAATACCATAAACCGATTGGCTTATAAACAACAGAAATTTATTTCACACAGTTCTGGAGGGTGGGAAGTTCAAAATACCAGGAGATTTGGTGAGGGCCCACTTCCTGCTTCATAGACAGCAGTCTTTTTGCTGTGTCCTCACATGGCAGAAGCGACAAAGGAGCTCTCTGGGACCTGTTTTAAAGGTATTAATTCCATTCATGAAGGTTTTAGTTTAATGACCCAAAGGCCCTGCCTCAAATACCATCACCTTCTAAAGGCCCAAATACTATCCTACTGGGGATTAGGATTTGACATGAGAATGGGGGAGGTGGCACAAAATTCATATTTTCTTTTAGAAAGGCATATTTAAAAATGAACTATAGAATACTTTGGCAGAAGAAAGAAGATATACATGCAAGAGAAATAAAGCAAAAATCTTGATAATTGTTGAATGTAGGAGATGAAGGTTTATTATACTTTTTTCTCTACATTTGTGAATGCTTAAAAATTCTTGTAACAAAAAATTAAAGTCAGCAAAACTTGGTCCCTGCCTCCAGGAAAGTCATAGTTAATGAAGGCAAGAGATGAAAATGCATGAAACAATACTAGGCACAGATACTAAGCCAAATAACAGAGATGGCACTATGGGTTCAGACTGGCAAGTGGTTTGCAAGGATAAATAAAGTCTTTATCAAAAAGTCAAGTCTTGAGCCCAGCTTTAAAAGATAGAGATTTCAGAGAGAAGGAAGGCATTCTGAGTAAGATGAAACAGCTTGTGCTGTTAGAAATACACTAAGTGGTCCCTTCAGCTCCAGTCCCTGTTAGCCAGTAGTAGCCGCACATCATGTTAGTGCTCATGTGAATTCCTTCTCAAATTTATCAGAGCAAAGTCCTCTATGTAGTTTTCACATCTTTCTATTGTGCTCATCATCACCCTACTTACATGGTTAGCATGACTCTACCTTCTTCTGATCTGAGGAGAAAAGTCTGTTCTTATTGAGTATTCGGTGGGGAACGTGAAGTATGTCACACTTCCATGTGGTTAAGAAACATCAAGAAAGAGAAGAAGCTAAAGGGAACACTTTAGTATTGGATTTCTCATGTTCCTAAATTCCCTTGCCAGGAAATGAGGATATATTTGTCCTTGATGGAGTTAGGAGTTCCTTAGTGATTTTCTAACTTGAAGAGGTGAAGAATCCACTTGTAAAGCCTTTGAGAGTTTCTCTCATGTCTCTCTTTTCAGTTGTGCCTTTCTTTGCACTAGCCACTCTAGGCAGGAATTGTACCCTATTGCCAGCTATTATGAGGCTTTAGCAGAGCAGCTATTAACTGCCCTCAGCTACTAACTCACCTTAATAGTATGGTCTATATTGTTAGGTCATTTATGTTAAACTTGGTTATAATTGGATTAATGACTTTTCT